CAAAGTGTCCTGTACTCTCCAACCCTGTGAGTCAGCAGTGGCACCTCCAGGGTCACGTTTCTGAGTGGATGAAGAAAGTCCGCTGTGCGGACCCGCTTCGACTGTGGAGGGGTGAGTGTCCGTGTCCATCGGGCCCGGGGTGTTCGCGCCCCGCGTCCTCACCGCCCGCGTCCTCCCCTCCCCCGCGTGATCGGAGGTGTGTCCGCCGCGGATCACCTGCGGGGACGCGCGGGTGTAACGTGAAAGGGGCTGAGAAAAGTACTGAAACAGTGAGAGAGAGGTGTATGAAAACACATTATGTTAACGTTGGTGTGTCAAAGTCAGAGTTTATTATGCTTTTACTTTCCTGTCTTTAAAGGAACACAATTATTTATTTTATACTTAAAATATGCTTCTCAGCTTATCTCGTTTTCAAGTCAAAATATTGCTACCCTTGTTTGACATTTTCTCATAATACAGTGACAGTCTTAAATATATGTAAATATAAGCTCATTGGAAAACTCTTTTGCAGCATTCCAGGGTGGCTAGTCTTGTTAAAAATAATATCCAGGCCACTACCAAGTTCTTAGAAGAACGTAATAAAAAACATTGTGATTCACTTTTAGAAGTTCCAAACACAGTGGCGATTTTTAAAATACCAACCATTGCATACTGCTCAAGACCACTTAAGATAAAATATATTCAAACTTAGAACTTCAGAATATTTAAAAGGCAAGACAGTGGCTGCTTTTTCATTGCAAATACATTTTCTCCTAATAAATGCAAAATACAAAGTTACTTAGCTTAATTTCATATCTCTATTCAAAAGGTGAAATTAGAATTAGAATGTCTATAATCTTATGTTTTTATTTTAAGCCTCTCTCCCATAAAAATTGGTATTTGTATCTGTAGAATTTTAATTGTCCATTCATTTCTTTTTCTTTTGGTTTATTTGCTATAACAGTGCATTCCTGTGTCCCCGTAGTTTTTAATTCTCCTAATCTAGTTCCAAGTTACTTTCTGACACTGATAGTAAACAAGGGGAGAGGCCTTATAGTAAGTGTGCATCTTTTCACATAGTCAGGAGTTTTTCTTGGAGAACTTTCTTTACAATTTCCACTCGGTTCACAATGTTATCCCACTATGACGACTGAATGAAAAACTGTAATCTGTGTACACCAAGACGCTTCCGAATTCAGCACAGAGCATTTGCTGATACGATTTTACATTAGATATTAATATAATACAATATTTGATTTAACTTACATATTCTGTAGTAATACGTATGTTATATATGTGCACATACATGTGAATATCTGCTAAGTATTATTAATTTGCATGGGGTGGTAGCAGATTGCATTTGATCTTCTGACCATTGGCTATTCTTATGTGTGTCTAAAGTACTTCTTAGAACAAATATTAGAATATCACCCCTCTCATTATTCAGTATTTGAAAGGTTATCATATGTTGAATTATAGAAGCACAAATGTTGTCCAGTAAGTTTGTGAAATGATTAAGTCACAATTTGGCACAATCCCATTCAGTGGAGGAATGACGGCTTCTACATCTTTGTGCATCTGCCACAGTTGTTCCTGTATAGTGTCTGTCACCATGGGCATTTTTATGCCAGCATAATCTTTTTCCAATATACTAACAATCATCTGAGGTATATCTGTTTTTTCCTTTGATTTCAGTACAGTCAGTAAGGCTTTCCTTTGCAGGATGGCATTGTTTCTAGCATGAAGATACCTTGTCATCTGACATATTTGTACACGATGGGTTACTGCTCATGTACAAAGCAAGGACATGGATTTTCATGTGTATTCCAGATCTAATCTGATTTCTTAGGAGCATTTATAATTATTTTTAGTTATTTTAATTGTACGAAACAAAGAAGAAGAGATCACTTTTTATCTTCACCGACTAGTAAAATAACCACCAAAACAATTCCCGAATAGTATAATTTGTAGTAAGTAATTACACACATACTGTACTAATAATTGAACATGGACTATGTAGACTTGGTGCTGTTGGATTATGCATTATCCTGGGTTATTTCCTTCTTGCTGTCATAAAGCCAATTTTTAAAAATGAAACAGTACAACTAGGTGATGGGGAAAATTAATAGTAATTACTGGTCAGCCAATTTAAAAGTAATATATGTAGAAAAATAAAATTTTATTTAATACATTTTCATTTTAAAATAGTTTCAGATTTATAGAAAATTTGTAAGAATACTGCAGGATTTCACCAATAGCCCAGACTCAGCTCCCTGTCTTACTACCATTTCGTATCCTTAGGACACGTCGTTATAGTTAACGAGCTAGTGTTGATAGGTGATTACTAACTCCAGTTGACTCTTCAAGTTTTCTTAGATTTACCCTTTTATCCTCTGGGATCCCACTGAGGATGCCTCCCCCTCATTCCCTTTTGTCCTTATGTCCCCTGAGAGCACTGTTGGTGGTTAGAGTTTCTGAGGCATTTGTTTTTGATGACCTTGACAGTTTCCAAGAGGACCTGTCAGGAATCGCGTGGAACATCTTCCAGTTGGGATTTACGTGATGTTTCCCTCGTGCTTAGCCTGGGGTGATGTGCTTCTGGAGAGGAAGGCCACAGAGGACAAGTGTAACGCACGACACTGCCTATCAGGGGAACACGCTCTGAAGGTGACTTACTGCTGTTGCTCTTACCCTTGGTCACTTGGCTGAGGTAGGGTTGTCGGGCTCCCCCACTAGAATGGCAGTCTTTCCCAGTCCATTCACTTGTGTACCTTTCGGAAGGATGTCACTATGCGCAGGACACGTTTAAGGAGGTGGGAAGTTATGGTCCACTTTGCGTTAGGTAAGCATCTCTGTCCATTATTTGGGATCATGTCTGAGTGATTCCTATGCTCCCATATTTATGTATCCATTTTTTTTCCAGGAAAAGTAGCCACCTCAGTAATGGTCAGAGGGATGCTGGATCCAACATCTGTGCTTCGAATAGCATCTGGCACATAGTCTGTGCTCAGTAAGTATCTGAATGAGTAAGACTTAAAAGACGTGAGGAGCGTGTGCACAGGGGGCAGAGGAGTCCCAGGCAGGGGGAGAGGAAGGTGAAGGGCCATAAAGAAGGAGCACGCCTGGCTGTTTGAGGCAAGTTGGGAATGCTGGGTGGCTGAAGTGAAGTGAGCAAGGGAGAGAGGCCTTGGGGAGATAAACAGACTTGTTAGCCATTTAAGGGATATTGGCTTTTACTCCGGGTGAAATGAAGTGCCAGTGAGGGGTTTTCTGCAGCGGAGGGCTGTCACCTGACTTGCCCTGGCTGCTGTCCTACCAGCTGACTAAGGGGCAAAAGCAGAGTCAGGGCACCAGGTAGGAGACTGCTGGCACAACCCAGGTGGGAGCTCAGGCCATGACGTTGGCTGTGGAGATGGTGACAGGTGGTCAGTTTAGTTGTGGTTTTGCAGGATGAACCAGCACCAGCTTCATGGATGGGACACAAGGTCCTTCACTCAGACAAACCCATGGGTGGTTTCATGCTCTGTTGTATCTGTCTTGAATTTTTTTCTCCAGACTTACTGACGTAATTGATACACAGCATTGTGTGAGTGTAAGATGTACAATGTGGTGATTAGATGCAGTATATAGTGAAATGATTACCACAATAAGGATACTTCCATAAATTCATATAATTCCCTTTTGTGGTGAGAATTTTTGAGATCTAGTCTCAGCAACTTTCAGGTAAATAATATAGCGTTGTTAGCTGTAGTTACCATGCTGTATGTGAGATTTCCCAGAACTTACTCATCTTAAACCCGGATGTTTATACTCTTTGCGAAGCATCTTATTATCCCCACTCCCAGACCCTGACAACCACCACTCTATTCTCTGTTTGTATGAGTTTGTCATTTTTAGATTACACATGTAACTGAAATTATGCAGTTCTACTTTTTATTCTTTGACAATCTGCAATGTGTTGATTTGATCCGTTTATATACAGCAATATGATCACCACCACAGCTTTCCCTAACACCTCTGTCATGACTCACGAATATAATTTTCTTTTGTGTGTGTGTGTGTGGCAAGAACATTCACAAGATAGTGTCTTAGCAACTTTGAAGACTGATGCAGAGCTGTTGTCTGTAATCACTGTGCTGTGCATTTGATCTACATGACTTATTTATCTTCTGGTTGCGAGTTGGTACCCTTTCACATCTCCCCAGTCCCTCCACCCCAGACACCGTTCTCCTCTTTGTTTCTAAGAGTTTGCTTGCTTGGTTTATGTTACACGTATATCTGATATCTTACATTTGTCTTTCTGTGTCTGGTTCATCTCACTCATCGTAATGCCCTCAAGGTCCATCTGTAATACCACAAATGGCAGGATTTCCTTCTTTCTCAATGTGGAATAGTATTCCATTGTATATAAATGCCATATCCTTTCATCCATTGTTGGACACTCAGATCGTTTCCATATCTTGGCTATTGGAAATAACGCTGCAATAACCATGCGAGTGCAGCTATGTTTTCGATATCCTGTTTTCACTTCCTTCAGGTGTACACCAGAAAGGAGGACTGCTGGAGCATACGGTAGCTCTATTTTTAATTTTGGGGTAACCTCCATAGCTTTTCCATAGTGGCTGAGCCAGGTTACATCCCCACCAACAGTGCACAGGGGTTTTCTTTTGTCCTCGTCCTTGCCAGCACTTGTCTCGTTTTCTTGGTGATGGCCGTTCTGACAGGAGGAAGGGGATATCTCATTCCGGTTTAAATTGCGTTTCCCTAATGGTTAGTGATGTTGAACATCTTTTCATGTACCTTTTGGCCATTTGGGTGTCGTCTTTGGAAAAATACAAATTTAATTTCACTGCCCATTTTTTATATTGATTGGCTTTTTTTTTTGGCTATTGTGTTGTA